CTGCGCCGCCACGTGCAGCGCCGTCATACCATCCGGACCCTGGTAAATGGAATTATTACACTACTAGTTATCGCCTGCGACTCCGTCCTTGTGGAACTAAAAAACAACAGTAAGTAGAATATGTAGACTACGTTTTACATCTATTCCAAATTTTTTACAGATCCGTTCAGCAGTTTAGGCTACGAGCTCTAACAAAAAATCCATCCATCGATCTAAGCTTTCGCATTTATAATATTAGTAAGATAAATTAGAAACTTTCTGCATTTAAAAGGTATAAGGTAGATATTTCGTATTAAAAAAATTAACTCACAGGAAGGTTTACGTCACATCCTGCTGCTATCAAATATCTGATAACTTTCATGAGGTCCTCATCGCTTGGTTTATTTACTTCACTTTCCGTTATATCATCTTCTTCCACTTCTTTAATTTTTTTATCCTCTTCGTTATCTTCTTTATTATCATTCTTCTCATCTACATCCATTACTTCTGGCTTTTCTTCTTCATTTTTAACAGTCTCGCTTTTACTCTTGGTGGTGTTTGTTTTGTCTAATAATACTGGAACAAATAAAACTTTTTAGAAATTACTACTTGTCAAGAGTTTCTCAAAAATTGTTACATATAAAGCAGCGATGGCACCTGTATGATCGCATTTAACATTTCTTGCACCCATGGACTCGAGACACTATTACAAGAGTGTGGGTGTGTCAAATGGGCGTTCCCAGTGGGAGGTTGGGCGGGGCAAATCTCCTATCCCTCGATTTAGTTATATTATCGTCTATCGAGGCCCGTTTGTCAATACTAATATTATAAAAGGAATGATTTATTTTTCGGTATTTTCGTATGTATTGAAATAACTCAAAAACTACCGGGCCGAATTAAAAAATAATCACCATTTTATTAAAAGTTTTTATATTTAAAATTAACCTTAATAAATTGTTTCTGATAATGTAGTTTTGCATATATTGGCTAATTTATCGGTTTTGTGTATACTTGTTCTATTATTCTATGTAATTGTGTGGTTAAATTAGCTGTTGTGTATACTTATATAAATAAACCAGCTGTTTCCGTGCGACTTCATCCGCATGAAATTATGAAAATTTTATTTCATTGTTTACATTTGTCAAATTATCAATTACAAATGTCAAAATGACATGACATTATGACAACCTTGCTTCCTTGATGTTGGCAGCAACTTACGGTCTCTTTCCCACATTAAGGTTTTTATCCAAAATATTTACCCCCAAAGTCTAATGGCGTTAAAATATATAGCCTAAAGTGTGACGCAAGTGTAGGGCTTTTCGTTAAAATAGGAATTATACAAAAATATGCTGTAATTGCTGACATCTTTGGCAACAAAGAAATGTGTGTTTACGCTTTATTATAATAGTATAGATAAAATAAAAAAAAAAACTAGGAAGCTATGTTATCGCTGAGTAAAATAGGCTATATTTTTACAATATTTTAACTTGTGCGGCCAAAGTCGCGAGCAGCCAGTATGTTAGTACATACTAGCTGTAGCCTGCTGAGCTGGGTGTGAGTGGTGTCAGTTACCGGTGAGTGCGATGTGCAGCGGCGTGCGGCCGAGCGCGTCGCGCGCGTCCAGGCCGGCGCCCGCGAAGTGCAGCAGGTAGGCCGCCGCGCCGCGCCCCCAGCGCGCGCACACGCACAGCGCCGCCTCAAGACCCTCGCCCTTCGCTGACACTGCAAATATAACAATTATTTATATCAACACAGTCTAAGTGGAAAAAACTTAATTACTAGCATATGTATTCTTTCACAGTGTATTCTACTTCAGAGCCTTTTATCTAGATCTGTTGACACATTCTAAAAATATGTAGCAAAAACCATTAATCCACCTAAATTTTAACATTTATAATATTAGTAAGATTTATCACTAAGTATGCTTATGTTTTAAATGGATGGATGGATGGATGTCATAATGATGTTTGCATTTGCAAAATAGCACAACGGACCTCTATGAATTTTGCATAAATGTAGAACATAGTTTGAAAGAAGTGGCGTGCAAAAGCTAGTTAAATAAATCATACCAATTTTGGGTATCAATTGCTCCGGAGTCTCCCCAGCTATAATAGCGTCGTGTAGTAGTTCCACTTTATCGATGGGCTCGTCTTCCTCCGCGCTGACTGTCTCCTCGCACAGCTTCTTCAGGTCTATAGGAGGTGATGGCAGCAGGTCTTCAGGGATGACAGGACCTTGCTCGATTAGAGATGGATTGATCCCACCAAAGCCTATGTAAGCTGGTATTCTGGGAAAAAAATAATTATTAAAACCACGTAATGTGACCGTTAACTGTTAACCTGTAATAAAGCCAATATATTTGAAATTTATTTTCAAATAATTGTTTGAAGAAAATTACTGTATGTTTTACCAAATTTAAAAATCTAAGAACAAAATTACTACCATCCTAAGAGATTAAAGAAATATCTCGAGAGAAGCATAGTTGACACATTTTTCACATAATATCACTAGAGAGATATTACCGTACAAAGAAGTTACCGATGAAAAAATGTTGTTCCCTATGTCTAGTCTATATATTTTAAATGTCTTTGCCACCATCATATCCCATCAGACCTTTTTGGCAAAAAACGAAAGACTTACGACTGCTCCCTCTGTTCAGGCAGGTATACCCGCTTGCCGCTGCAGTGCATGTCTATCTTGACTTTAGCACAGTCCTTGTTGGCAGGCTGCCACAGCACCGAGTGCACGCCGCAGTGCGGACACCCCGTCGCACCCCCACCCCCACCCGCCTTGCCCTCTGCGCTGCCCTGGATGCCACACTCCAAGTGGAACAAGTGGCCCAAGGAACACTGGTAGAAGATACCCTGGAAAAGCAAAAACAAGTCAAAGTTCCCTGAATATAAAGCAAATATAATGTTTCCTATAGTGGAACATATGTGAAAACCGAAACCATGTACTTCGTTGTATTAATATTAAAAACACAGACAAAACTTTACAACTGAATCTTAGAATTCTTTCAACTCGTTTATTCTTGCCACATCAGCCCAACTAACTCATGGTATAGAGCACAACTTTAACTTGTTCTCATATAAAAGACACTTTATAGTCTATGGTATATAATACCTGTGCACAGAACAGACCACACGCAGCACAGCACATATGTTTTCTGAGCTGTGCAGTATGCAGGCGGCAGGCGAGCATGTAGGGTGTGCGCGGTCCGGCTCGCACCAGCGGCTGCAGCTCGCCGGCCGCCCGCGCCGCGCCGTGCGAGCACCCCACGCGCACCCCCTCCACACTGTCGATAGCCTGGCAGAACACCGGCTCTGAACACAGACACAATTTTCATACATTTATCAATGTAAATGAATCAACAAACATGGCGTGGTATGGTTATGTTATCCGATGAGACAATTGGGACGAAACCAGAAAGTGTTAAGAATGAATGTGGATGTCTACAAAGGAAGAGGAAGATCGAAAGAAATTTTAGATTGATTGTGTGAAAAAGGATATGTACAAGAAGGAAGTGGATTCAGATATGACAGCAAGTCAACATATAACTAAAAAGAATCTTAAACAGTTTGGTATTCGGCAATCATCTGTGAGAAGTTAAAATTTTAATGGAATTTCGAGTTTTAGTGAG